AGCCAATATAGACTAAGTCCACTACGGAACGATTCCTCGGAGATATCCTCCTCATCGAGACCCTCTGCTCTCGCCTATAAACGGACAGGATCTCTAGGGGTTAAGGGTGTGTTAGTGTGATAGAGCGTCATAACGTTGTCTATATAGACGCCTCTCTCCGTTGAGGAATTCAGTTATTCTCCTCGACTCTCTCCCCAAAACCCTCTCCCCAAATCCATCAATCTGAGTGATCCTGTGAAAGGATAGGAAGAGAGGAGAAGGGAGAGGAGAAGGGTCTACTCTTCGCACTCCCTGCAGATTCCGCAGTGCGATCGGATTAAAGACGGAGCCTGCAGCAATCTTGGATCACGGTGCTGAGCAGATCAAACAAGATCTCTGAACGGATGACATCAAAAGGTACGCATCGTATAGATCTATGTATTGAATTTCAATCCTGGCATGTAGGTTAATTCAGTATTTTTATACTCACAGATCGAAAACACGAATATGCTAATAAAGGCAGCAATTTTAGATTAAATAATATGGCATTCCAGGAATCGAGAAGGACTACAATAAAAGACTACATTTTTGCAGACATGGTATGATTCAGAAGTCATTGAAAGAACAAGAAGAATAAGAAAGACTAAAACTGAGATACCATGTCGAAACTTTCAAGAATTTCAGCAAGGGTTTTGATCTCGTGAAGGGAGGGCTTCTTCTGCGTGGTTCTCTCTATATACTCGGGCTAGGCGGCAGCGTCGTCGGCCGAAAGGAGGCGACTGTAGTCCTATCAGCGAAGGCTTGATCCAAGAACTTGGGAAGGAAAGCCGTTCCAGGTCTCCTTGTGGGCGAGGAGAAAGCCTAAGGCGAAGTATCCGGCGCCGACCAAGAGGGTGGTGGAAATGCTGAGGAGAGAGAGAGAGAGAGACAGAGAGAGAATTCCTTAGAGAAATCATCCATCCATGGACGGCCGAGAAGGATGGTGAATCCGAAATCGCCGTCGGCGGTGGAGCAGAGGCGGAGTGCGAGTCCCTGGCGCCGGAGCAGAGGGGGTCTCAGGACTCGGAGTCGGAACGACGGTGCTGGCGGATCGAGTTTGGATGTAATATTTGGATCTGCATCGTTGTCGGATTCAGTTAAATCCAACCCGAAATCCTATCGAACGCTGCCACATCCCGTCGGAGTGAATCACCCCTGAGAAATTTCGCGAGTAATTCCACTACCTTTCTCCCAAAACGTGTGGGGCCCACTTTTTAGGGGTGATTGCGTGTCCCCCACTAAATTTGGCTATCATCTTTTCCATCTTCATCATAAAATTGTGGAACTTGCAATCTTTTTTTCAAATAAAAAATTAAAATCATAAATTCTACCCATCTTCATCATATTCCTCAATTATCATCGGGTCCATCCAATAAGGTACCACGAGGATTATCATGCCTTTGTCATCGGATCCATTGATGTCCAACGAAAATAATAGTTTATATTGAGGTGAAAGTAATATAATTTTTTCACATAATAACACAACATAAGAAATTATTAATCTTAAAAAAATTTCTTGTATATATATATATATATATATATATATATATATATATATATATATATATATATATATGTTTGAGTTAATGAAAACTTGTAACAATTCTAATTGTAACAACTCAAGAATTGTACTCTACATACTGAATTAAGTCATCACTTAATAAGTAAATAGAACTCAAATTCATGAGAACTCATACTACATAATAATTGTTTGAATAAAGTTATCATGTAAAAAAAATTGTGTTGAATCTATGGCCCAGTAGTTATTTTTTTTGGTTTGGTAGCCTATCATTAATCATCTAACACCTAAATTTTAAATTACTAAAAAATATATCAACTTGACGACCAAGTTGGCAATGAAGCCACCAATCCTTCTTCCCAGGACAGAGAGTGCAGTGGGTTTGCTTTAACTCTAATGCATTGCAGAATCTGCAGTGCCTTATGTACCATTGGAATATGGAGGTATAAAAGTAAAAGTAAAATGAATTGTTGTAGACTATTCCCTCCACCAATAAATATGCAGTGCCTTTTGTACCGTTGGAATATGGAGGTATAAATTTCTTTTATATTTTCTTAATTAATTTATTTTTTATTTTTATTTTAAAAAATAAAAGTATTATTAAAATAATTAATAATATTAAAATAATAATAATAATAATAATATGTTGAATATATTATTCCTCTGACACGTAGAACGTGAGGAGATAGGTTTTAATATCATTTAATTTGTAATTGATTCGTAATCGACTCAGTGAAGGATTAATTCGATCTGATGTGGGCCAAGCATTTATGTCTAGCTTCTTCTGGGCCCACATATGATGAGGCCGGTTAACAAAATGGAAAGTGCTTTAACGGTTCTCATCCCGTATCTATCTATCTATCTAATTCTTAATCTCAATTGTTCCTCGTATCTAACTAATAAAAATAATTGATGCCTCTATGTCCACATTCAATAAGAATCTTAAGAAAGAAATCTAATAAATTTGGATGTTTTGCATGCCCGAGTTTCCCATGTTTGGATGCCAACCCACTGAATAAAAATAAACATAAAATAAAATTTTCTTTGAATATTAAGTATATGTTGAAAAGGGTTATTTTGTTTCTTAATTATAATTACCAGCATCATAGAATTTGATTAGAATGCGTGAAAGAATTCAGAACAACAAATTCTAGCATTTATCTCGACAAGATATGCATTATCATAAAGAAGAAAACGAAGTGAACATGTGGACAACACATTTAATGTCTAGAAAGATACATGTGTGTTAGAGATGGATGATGGTGAGAAGTGGCGTGGGGCTTCCATTTGGGTCATTATCATTATTATTATCATTAGGTGAATAGGTCATTCAGTCATCTGTTCATATATTGATAGGATAATATCTATGCAACTATTTTACATAATTAACAATGGAAAAAAAGGAACAACCAATCAACTTCATATTAGAGAAAAAACAAATAACCTATTGGTATCTTCACTTAATTTTAGATTTCCCACTTAACTTTATATTGATCGAATAATATCAAGAAGAGAAATGCTTTATACAACTATTTTACAATGTTCTAAAAATGCAAAAAAAAAAAAACACTCCATCAACTTATACAATAAGAGTTCTTTTTTTTTTTCTCGAGAAATTTATTTTAAAAAAAGAAAAATAAAAGATGATGAGTTAATTTATTTAGACAAATTAAATCAGTACTTCCGGTGATGATTCCCTGTAAAAGTTGATCGAGCTAATGGCAGGCCTAATTTGGGAGAGTGCTTCGATTCGTGAGCTACAGAGCACAGGAGGAGCTCGTTGAATCATCATCGGACAAGTTAGGTGGGATGATCACCGGACTGAGGTACAATGCTTCCAACTGCAGGCTGCCTGACAAGCCACTAAGCAACAGGAGGAAGACTCCATTTCCAAAGGCTTCACTCGAGATAGGTGCTCGATGAGAAGAACATGGGTGGGACCCCCTCGGCCAAACAATGCAGAAAGCCATGGAGTTCACATGCCCTAAAAGCCCCTCCGTCATGCGCTCCTCCTCCTCCTCCTTTCCAGGTCTACCCAACCCACAAGAAACCCAAGGTAAGGATTGAAACCCAGGAATTGCTCCTTGCAGGACCTGCTCCTGGAAAGGGATGGTGGACCAGCCATGGTGTTCCTAAATAAATCCACAAACAACGATTTTTCTTTTTTTTTTGTTAGCAAAATCTTAAGAAACATTTTTAAATGATTGATTTTTTTTTCAAAAAAATTAATAGGTAGAAATAATATTATTAAGATTTTTTTTTTCAAACGATAAGGACGAGATTTAAGCACATGTTCTTGTAATATTCTATCGGAATTTTTTACCAACAAAGCTAGTTAGCATCTTCAAGATCATTGAGATTATTATATATATAGTACTTCAGATATTATTGATTATTATATATACTGTTCAAACAATAGTAAAATATATGAATATATCAAGAAAAGAAAATCTAATTAGAAAATTCAAAAAACATACA